CCTCCCTCCTCCACTCACACAGTGTTTACTGGCCAGTGCACTGAGGCCCAAACTCTTCCTAATGCTGACCCTGAAATACTGATAACCTCATTCTCCCATCTCGTCACCCCAAGTTTCCGGCTCTATTGCGCACAAAGCATCTAAAAACTGCAAACAGATAATGCGCTTTTACGAGGCTGGTGTGTGGCTGATGGAGGCGGCATTCTCTGTCTCACTCCAGCTGACCTTCTTCCACCCACGTGGGCCGCGTTGTGTTCTCCCAAAGTTCATCTCTTGAAGCCTAGCCCCCAGTATGGCAGAATACGAGTGTGTTTGGAGACGGGGTCTTTGAAAAGGTGATTAAGTTAAAAACGAGCAGCTGTTAGGGTGGGCCCGAATCCAGTTGGACGGTATCCTTCTAAGAAGGGGAGATTTGATTACACAGACACCAGGGGTGCGAGAACACAGAGGAAAGACTGTGTGAGGACAGCGAGAAGGCTGCCATCTGCAAGCCCAAGAGAGAGTCCTCCGATCTGCCGGCACTTTGATCGTGGACGCCCAGCCTCCAGAGCTGTGAGAAAATAAATTGCTGTTGTGTATGCTTTCAAGTCCGCGGTATTTTGTTACGGTAGCCATAGCAAACCAACACACCCACAAATCGCAGGTGTGGAAATAAGGGAGACCGTCCAACGAGAACAAGCAGAGGCTATTTATCAGAGCTTTGCTGTAGCGAAGGGGACAGGGCCGTCACTTGTGTCTGACAGACTCCGCGGCAGGCAGGGGAGTGGGAAAGCTTCACAGTGGGATAAAGGGAAGGTTTCAGGCGTGCCCTGATTGGTTGTCATGGGGAAGCCAGAAGCAGGCTAACTACAAGGGGGGCGCCCCTTGGTTAGGGGAGGACATCTGGCTTTTTCTGGTTGGCTCTGAGGTGGAAGCAGGGGCAGTCACTGACCAAGGCCTAATTGGGCTGATTGTTGCGGAGGGGTTGGGCTTCATAGGCTGGTTACTGCGGCGGTCGCGGGTCAGGGTTCTGTCGTATTTGATCTGGCCATCGTCCATCTGTGCGTTCTGTATGTCACAGGGTGGTAGGATGTCTTCTCATCCCATTTATCGGGCCGCGTTAGTTTCTTGGGACTGCTGTAAGATATCACAAACTTGGTGCCTTCCAACAGCGGAAATTAATTCCCTCACGGTTCTGGAGAAGGGAAGTTTGGAATCGAGGTGGAGCAGGGCCAGAGTCTCTCTCTGAAGGTTCTGAGGGAGGGTCCTTCGTTGCCTCTTCCAGCTTCTGGTGGTTCTAGGCAAACCTTGGTGTTCTTTGACTCCAGGGTCTAATTTTTCAATGTTTGTTCCATCTTTACGTGGCATTCCACACGAATGTAGAATGCGTGTCTTCGCATGACTTTGAAAGATACCGGCCTCCGAATTTAGAGCCATCTTAAATGACCTCTTCTTCATTAATCACATCTGCAAATCAGATCACATTCTGGGGTGCCAGGTGGTCATGAATTTTGGAGGAGACACTCTACGACACACTCTACTGGTTAAGGGTCCTATTCTGCTGTCACCAGGGCCAGAAGCCTGGCAGATCTGCACTTGACATGGGCCCTTGGGCACAACAAGGGAAGCCAACTCTGCAAAGTCTTGAGATGTCCAGAATAGGGTATGTCAGCAAGTGACATTTTAGGGGGAAACTTGGGGATGCTTAGAGGTGGAGAAGAGAGGAATCCATATCTGACCACATGAAGTGCCTGGCGTGCCCACCCCAAGGAAGGCAGACATTGAAGCAGGTCGACGTTCTGGTCCCCTCCTGACACAGACTTTAGCAAAGGAACCCGAGAGAGGGACAACTAGGGGGTGGGGTGCTGAATTTGGGAATGCTGTGCCCAGGGGTTTATGGAATCTTGACGTGACCTGTGATCCCCCACAAAATCCAGTTCAAATCTATCAACTCATCAACTCTATCTTTGGAACAGAATATTCTCTGGAGCTTCAGGCATGTTTATCAAGCTCCAGAGAAGGTTCACATTAACTCAGTATATTCAAACTAAATGATCTCATGCCCCACACCAGCTTCTCCTGTGCTCCCTCCCGTGGTAAAGGGCATCCCAGACTCTCCCTTGATGCCCCAACCTGGGCATCATCCTGGACCACACTCTCCCCTCACCTCCCACATGTGGCCCATTCACAAAGCCTGTCAGTTCCATCCTCCAAAGATGAGGGGCTAGCAAGGGCCATCGGTACAAACTCCACATGAGAGGCACGAAACCCACTCTTTTTTTCACTCTTGCCGTTTAGCATGATGCATCAGTGGACGCCTCATCAAACCCAGAACCATCTGCAAAATAAGAATTTGAGGTAATAGGGTAAATGAGATTCTTTCGTTAATATATACAAGACACCCAGTACATTCTGGTGCAAAGTGTGTGATGTAGAAGCAGTAACTATTAACTATTGCCTGTGGTTTATGCATAAAAAAAAAAATCTGGTCCACTCTGTTTTGTGAGTGTGAACAATGTCACGGACGTTAAAGAAACAAATGAGCACTGTCTTCACTTTTGCTCTTGAAATGGGTATTTCTTTGCAGTCTTAGGGATGTGGAAGCTTTCTCCCACTAACCTTGACGCTTTGCTTCTGGATCATAATAGAAACACCACGTTCGGTGATCGAAAAAGAGCACTCAAAAATGTGTGCTTTTTTTATCTTATTTTTTTTTCATTGTTTCAACCCCTCCCCTGCCCCCGACCCGCCGAACAATCCGAGCAAATGCCAAGGCTTTTTGCTTTTAAGTTCATCATTCAGAATCCTTGGCAAGTTTTCACAGAAATTCCCCCGGTGGGCAAGTTCTCTTCCATGTGAACATACGCGTCAGCCAGCATGCGCACGATTCATTGTCCCCCGTGCTGACCTTTCAGTATTTCCATCGCTCTTGTGAGTGACAAGGCCATTCCTTTGTGCTCCATTGCTGAACCGTCTCCTGCCTTCCTTAAACCTCCCGTGACAAGGAAGGGACAAAACCTCTCTTCTTTGCAATCTGTTCTTGGCTTTTTCTCCAAATACTTCTTTTTAATGCCATCAAATGTCTAGCACGCCCATTGTTTTGCTTTATACAAACTTTGAGATCCTTTGCTCTTAAAACCTCCAGTCATTTTCACTCAGGCACAGACAGGTTGGAGCAAGTTCCTTTTAAGATTAGTCATTGACTTTCATCAGCCTCATAGGCCACCTCTTTGGACACACAGAAATCTTCATGGTGCAGAGTTAAAATGTTTATCCTGTCTGTGATGGTCAATTTCCCCCGTCAACTTGACTAACCTTGGAGTGCTAGTCAGATTAAACGGTGCATCTGGGTGTCTGGGAGCATGTTTTCACATGAGATTAGCATTACCGAATTGGAGGACACAGTAAAGTAGATTACTCTCTCCAGTGTAGACAGCCATCTACCCAATTCCTTGAGAGCCTGAACAGAACACAATGCAGGAAGGAGAAATTCTCCCCTCTTTTCCTGCCTCACTGATTGAACTGGGACATCTAGTCTCATCTTCTCTGGCCCTTGAACTGGGATTCGCACCAGGTGCTCCCCTGGTTTCTCCTGTCTTTGAAGTCAGACTAAATTGTAACACCAGGCTTTCCTGGGCCTCCAGCTTGTGGAGGGCAGATTGTGGGACTTTTCAGCCTCCACAATCACATGAGCTAATTCCTCATAATAAATCTCTCTCTCTCATATACGTGCATATGTATTACATGTGCACACACACATATGTAATATGTATACATATTCTATTGCTTCTGTTTCTCTGGAGGAGAACCGCTAACACGATGACCTTAGAAGGGCCATGTGTCATTTGGCCAGGAGGCACCCCCCACAAACTCCCCACAAAGCTTTATTCCATAGAGCCCCATAGACGACAATGAGCCACGAGAGCCACCCTATCTTGACCCAACAACAATTCCAACTTGAATCTGTTTTCTCTTTCCCCTTCTCACCCCAGCGAGTGTCCTCACATCTGCCCGTTTCTCCACGTGGGGCCATTCACTTTACAGTTGGTTTCCAGCATCATTAGGACTTTCCTCATTGCCAGATATATTGGCCATTTTCTTCTTTTCTTTTCTTTCTCCCCTGCGTCCCCAGGACCTGAAGCTGAGAGCCACGAGTCAGTCAGTCACGTGCCGCTGGGGCTGCCGCAGCCCCAGCATGGAACCCCTTAGCCACGACTAACAAGCCACGAACGAGACCTGATAGTGGACAGTTTCCATTTATTTCGCTGGACTATCTCTAGTTATTTGTGGACTGAGTTCTTCACCCCGCCCCCTTACCCCAATTCATATGTTACAACCGTAACCCCAGTGTGATTGTGTTTGGAGACAGGGCCTGTAAGGAGGTCCTAAGGGTGGTCCCTAATGGGACTGAACTGGTGGCCCTATAAGAAGAAGAGGGCACAACCAGGGATGCTGAGGCACAGAAAAAAGGCCACGCGAGGGTACAGTGAGAAGACGGCCATCTACCAGCGAAAGAGAGAGGCCTCAAGAGAAACCAACCCTGCCGACCACACCCTGATCTGGAACTTCCAGCCTCCAGAACTGGGAGAAAAGAAATATTTGTTGTTTAAATTTTTTTGATGTTTATTTATTTTTGAGAGAGAGGGAGAGATACAGAGTATGAGTGGGGGAGGGGCAGAGAGAGAGAGACACACACACAGAAACGGAAGCAGGCTCCAGGCTCTGAGCTGTCGGCACAGAGCCTGACGCGGGGATTGAACCCACGGACTGGGAGGTCATGACCTGAGCCAAAGTCGGGTGCTTAACCAACTGAGCCACCCAGGCACCCCAAGAAATGTTTGTTGTTTAAACCCAGCCTGTGGTGGGTCTTTAAGCTAAGACACGTTCCTTCCAGAAACTTTCCTACCCTAGTTCTGTGACTCTCCTCTTCTCTGTCTGCCTGTTCCTTCCCGGTCTCCCTCTGGATTTTCTCTTCCCTCACCTGCTTTCCAAAGGGCGGTGTCCCCATCTCCCGTCCCCAGGCATCGCATCCCCTCCCACGGTCTCAGTGGATAAGATCACCATCTATAACTCCCTGAACATCAATGTGGGTGCCCTTTCTGGTGGGAAGTCTGTCAGGTACTTCATAGGCGCCTCAAAGTCAACACATACAAAGCCAGACTTACCAGCGTCCCCCTCCCGATCTGCTCTCCTTCCTCCTGCTCTGTTTTCAGTGGCCCTGAGGCCCCCAGGCCAAAATGCTGGCTGTCATGCTTGATTCCTGTTCTTCGGCTCCCACATCCAACCAACTTCAACATTTTGCTTTTTTCCATCCCTGCATTGAGGCCACTTCCTTCAGTAGCCTATACACCCACCCTTGTTGTCTCTGGTCAAGGCCATTGCGACAAGCATCTAACGAACTGGTCTCCTGAAATCCGTCCTGCGTCCACCTGGTTATCACTGTAATATTAAACTCTGACCACGTCACTCCCCTGCTTAAGGCCCTTCTCCAGCTTCCTGACGGCCATCGGCTAACATCCCCACTCTGTAGCCAGAAGGCAGGGCTCTGCACAGTCTAACCACCCCCCACCCCCACCCCAGACTCTGTTCTCATTGCTTCTCTGCCTACAATTTTGTGTTTTGGCCGTCCGTGCTCGACGGCTCATACTTTCTCCTGTACATTTGCCACCTTCTCTGCCCCCTTTCCTGCCTGTCTGTGAGATGCTCGCTGTCAGGTGCTCTCTCACCAGGAGAAACCGTTATCCCCCCTAATCCCCCCTGGGTTGCCACATGCCTGTATTAGCTTCCTAGGGTGGCTGTAACGAATTATCACAAACTTAACGGCTTAACAACACAAATTTATCCTCTCAGGTCTCTGGAGGTCAGAGTCTGAAATGGATCTGGTGGGGCTAAAATCAAGACATTGCCAGGGCCGGTCTTTTCTGGATGCTCTGAAGGGCAAATATGTCTCCCTGCCTCTTCAGCTTCTAGAGGCTGCCTGTATTCCTGGGCGTGTGGCCCCTTTAAAACCCATCACTCTCATTTTTGCCTCCTTCATCATACCTCTTTTTTCTGACTCGGACCCTCATCACTCCCTCTTATAAGGCCCTTTGTGATTAGATGGAGCCCATCTGGATAATTCAGGATAATCTTTTCCATAGCAAGACCCTTAATCGAATCATCTCTATCATCAAAAGTTCCTTTTAAAAATTTTTTAAAGTTTATTTATTTATTTATTTTGAGACAGGGCGGCGGGGGAGAGAGAGAGAATGTGGGCAGGGGACGGGCAGAGAGAGGGAGAGTTTGTGGGGCTCGAACTCAAGAACCGTGAGATACTGACCTCAGCCGAGATCAAGAGTCAGATGCTTAACTGACTGCACTACCCAGGTGCCCCCAAAATTCCTTTTCCCATAAAGAAATAACACAGGTCCTGGGGATTAGGATGTGGATATCTTTTGCAGGGACATTTCTCAGTCAACCACATGCCCCTTTCTGATTCTCCCATAATTGCTTATATATATTCTGAACTTACTGCGTTTGTGGATGGTTGTCTGTTTCTGCATCTGTCTCTCCCCTTCTACTCCAACTGCATACTCTTCTAGCATAGGAACCTTATCTTTCTCATCTTGTATTCCCAGTACCGGCTGTGCCTGAAGCATAGGAGGTGCTCAGCAAACATTTGTCGAGGGATGAAATAGAGACCTCATTTTGGTTTTTGGATCTAACTTTCAGCTGGACTTGATGTGTGCTGAGATCACCCAAGAATGCAGCTAGTTCAGAGAAGAAAGTGCACAGCAAGTTGCTGGCTCCCTTTGTATCTCTGCCCCCCCTTTCTAAGCCCAGAGAAGCAACATCCACCGTTTTGCAAGGAGCTGCAGGTCAGGGGTGCACAGGCAGGGAGGTCCTGCAGAACTGGGGTGAGGAAGGTGCTCTGAGGGCCCCTCCTCCCCTCGCAGAGGAGGTTTGAGGTTTGAAGATGTTAGTATCGCCAGTTTTTCTTGTTGCCAAACCACACAGTTGGAGCCCGTGATTCCATTTTGACCTACCAACCCCCCTCCCTTCTGTGGCATTGGACTGTGCGTTTCCTTCATTCTGGGCCAAGCCACAAGCTGTGGGTTTGGGGCCACTATCCACTCCTTGCAGGGTGGGAAGCACACTCCGATCTGGGACTGTGCCCACTCACTTTGTTGACCTAGGAAACGAAAGGCAGCAAAACTGGCTGTTTGGAACCCATTGTCCTTCTGCCCATCAGGCTCCCAGTGTGGCTGCCATCTTGGGTCCCAAAGATCATTAGGTCCTCCATCCCTGTTCCAGGCTGTGGTGAGGTAGAACTGAGGGCAGGGGTCTTCAGGATGGGCTAGGAGTCAGTCTGTCGAGTCCTGGACCGGCTTGAAAATAACAGGGCAAAAGATGACAAGCTCGGAACTTTCAGGTACAAATGGGAAAGCAGTCACTTCAGACGTGAGTCTGGAAAGGAGGGCTTGGACCAACAATGACTGAATCCAAAGGCAGAGCCTACCTTTCAGTGGCCTGAGCATGGGTTTGTCAGGGGAGCAGCAGGCTTGGAAGTGCAGCGAAGGCCAGCGTATTATTAGTTTGCCAGAGCCGCCATAACAAAGTCACAGGCAAGAGGCTTGAACATCAGAAACGTGGCCTTACGGTTCTGGAGGCTCGAAGTCCAAGATCAAGGTTTTGGCAGGTTTGGTGCCTTCTGAGAGCTGCAAAGGAGACTCTGTCCCAGGTCCGTCTACTAGCCTCTGGTAACCTCACTTGTCCTCGGCTTCTAGACACATTTTCCTCCCGCTGTGCGTGTCCGTCTCTGTGTTTCCCCTTTTTTCTCAGGACATCAGCTATGCTGATTTAGGGCCACCCTAATGACCTCACCTTGACTTCATTATCTCTACGGAGACGTTGTCTCCAAATAAGGTCACATTCTAGGTACCGTTGGTTAGGATTCCAACATATCTGTTGGACAGACAGGGGGGAGGGACGCACAATTTAACCTGTAACCGCCTATCAGCTCGGAGGTAAGAATTTGTGCTCAAATTTTCCCAAAGTGACTTCTCCTCTCAAGAAAACTTGTCCCTGGACTTTGTGTGGTGAGTTGCAATGGAGGAAGGGGAGGGAAGGGGCAGAGGAGCCTGAGAAAAGACACGGGATGTCAAGCCACGTCATGATTGAGCTTCAGAGAAAAGCTTCCTGATTGCCACTGACAAGGCCACGAGTCTGTTGGTGGCAATGACATTCTTTCCCATTCAGAATATAACATCCCGCCATTAGCCTTGGCCGTGACTGATGCCTGTTTCCTTTTTAGCAGCTGGTCTGCCTTGGTTTCATCTCTCTGCTGATTAGAGGGATGGTGGTCATAATCCCTTCAGTGAAAATGCACTTTCCTCTATAAATATAGACTCACAAATCTATAAATATTTGTTTATAAATAAATTTTGTGAGTGGCTGGAGATCTTAAAATAAGACTCTGTTTTAGCCCTTGGATGTCAAAAGAGACTCACATTTTTATGTTTGGCAAGAAAAGTATCAGAGGACCTTTTTTTTTTTAAGTTTTTAAAAATGCTTATTTATTTATTTTGAGAGAGAGAGAAAGAGAGCGAGAGAGTGAGCAGGGAACGGGCAGAGAGAGAGGGAGAGAGGGAGTGGGAGAATCACAAGCAGGCTCCACACTGAGAGTGAAGCCTGATGCAAGGCTCGATCTCACAGCCGTGAGATCCTGACCTGAGCTGAAATCAAGAGTCCAAGGTTCAACCGACTGAGCCACAGGCGCCCCAACAGAGAACTTTTTAAAAGTAAGGTCCACCCCCCACCCCGAATTATAATAATACAGTTGCATTTTAGCAAGTCTAAAAGATTTTAATTTAAAAAGGAAAAAAATGTTTCCCCAAATCCCCACAACCTAAGACCAACATTTGGTATAGTCTCAGAATCTTTTTCCTGTGCATTTATAAAGGCATTTTAACCCTTTAAATTGTTTATTTTTTTTTTAACTTATTTTGAAGTAGTTTAAGGCTCGTACAGGTTGCAAAACTAGCACAGAGAATTCCATGTACCCTTCCCCTGGTTTCCCCCAGAGATATTATCTTTTTCATTTTTGAAAACTGTGGAAAAATACACATCAGGTAAAATTTACCACTTCACCCATTTTTAAGGATACGGTTCAGCAGCATATGCGCATTCACATTGTGGTGCCCCCATCACCACCATCCCCCTCCAGAACTTTTTCCATTTTGCAAACCGAAAGCTTTGTCCCCATTAAACACGAACACCCCCTGCCCCCACGTTCCCTCCTGCAGCCCCAAAAACCCACCACTCTGCCTTCTGTGTCTGAAATGGACTCCTCTAAGGACCTCATGTACGTGGACCCATAGAGCACTTGTCCTTTTGTGCCCAGCTCGTTTCACTCAGCATAATGCCCTGAAGGTTCTTCCACATCATAGCACGAGTCAGAATTTCCTTCCTTTTTAAGGCCGAATAATCGTTCTTTATGTGAATGGACCACATTTTCTTCACCCATTCGTTTGTCGATGGACGCTTGGGTTTCTTCCGTCTCCTGGCTATTGCGAAGGAAGCTACTGTGAGCCTAGTTGTACAAGCATCTGCTCAAGATCCTACGGTCCCTTCTTTTGGATATATACCCCAAAGTGCAGTTGCTGGATCATAGGGTAGTTTTATGGTCACTTTTTTGAGGACTCTCCATGCTGTGTCCCAGGGTGGCTGCACCATTTTACCTTCCCGCCAGCCCTGCACCAGGGTTCTGATCCCTCCGCATCCTTGCCAACACTCGCTGTTTTGTTGTTTTGATGATAGCCATCCTCACGACGAAGGTTATATCCGGTGATGAGATCTTATGTAACCACAGCACCATTATCAAGAATATATGAGTTTTTTAGCCTTTTTTCCCTTTTAAATTGCACATGCGATCTTCGTGGCCACCAGTTTTATTTGCTTAACAAAATACCAATACTTAACAAAAGCATGTGGTCCTGTAACTAAAACCTCTCCATAAATATCATTTCATTTGGCAGCTTCCTAGTCTGCCCAAGGCCCATGGCTTCCCTGCCACGAGCGGACTCACAGGGAGGAGGGAGGAGTGCTCGAGTAGCCTGGTGGTGCTCCCTGCTCCCATGCTGCGAGGCCAGCAGGTCACTGGGTCTCTTATGTCCCGGGTGACCTCCTGAGCCCGCCGACCTGCAGTGGGGATGCCGAGGGGGAGAACAGAGACTTCCTGGTGTGCACTTGGCTCCTTTTCAACCTTGCGGTGCAATAAGCCACCAGTCTTGGAAATATCATGGTAGGAGGTCCGTAGAGAACGCTGATTTCTAACACGTGTTCCTGAGGCTCAGCAAAGAAAACAGCAGTTTGGGGTTTGCTAGGTTTGCGTGAGATTCAAGCTGACAATGGCTGATTGCAGGGACACAGTTGCCCCAGCAGTGACCGGCCTGGCTATCACGGAAGTTGGGGCAATTGGACCTCAGACCCTCAGTAGCTGCCCTTGCTGTCCGCACCCACTAAAACACCCCTCA